GGTCACATCAGTGCTGCCAGGCTGAACCACAAATGCATTGTTGGACTCAACTGTCCGAAGAACAAGTTTAAGAAAGCCATGGGGATGCCATAACCCCTTACGAAAACGCCATCTATGGCAGCCTCGTTTAGTTTACATATTTGGGGATCGAGTTCTCTTTCGATCCCATAGATGGCGTCTTTGTAGGGGAGATGTCATTGCTCTTACTTACTGAGGCTTATTCTTTGAGGAAAGTTGAGTCCACTAGTGCATTTGTGGTTCAGCGCTGTTTGATGATGAAGCTTAAATGTATTGTGTTTGGGCTCTGATTTACAAATAGTTGCCTTGCTGTGAGAGCCGGAGTGGCAGACGGAGAATAAATCTCATCGTCGGTCGCCCTCGAAGCTTGACTTTGCAAATGACCGCCTTGAAAAGTCTCATTTTATATTCGAGGATGGAGTTCTCTGTATATCCAATAGATGGCATTTCCATTAGGAAAGATGTCATTACCCTCACTTAGTCAGGTTTGTCCTTCAAGAGTAGTTGACTCCAACATTGCATTTGCGGGTCAGCCTAGTATTATTAATGAGATTTTGGCGAGTAGAAACAGCACTGTCTGATGTTGAATCATAAGTGCATTGTATTTGGGCTCTAGTTTACAACTAGCTATGAATGTTTTTTGAGTAATATTGTTACCTCAATGCATACAGGATGATGAGTTGTGGCGATAAAGACATCCAATACTCATGTTTCAATTGAAAAAAAATGTTAAGGTACCCCAGAGAATAAGAGACATTTCATGCAAAAGATTTATAATACTTCATAATATTATTAAGATATTGGAAGCAGAAATAAAAAATGCAATGAAGAGTTCCAGTTATTATTTTACTTACTAGCATCTGATCTGATATTTTCAAATTCATTTTCACAGTGGATAATGATTTATCTGAGGTCGAATTTCAATTTTAGAAAATACTAGTGGAATGAAAAAGAAAGGCTTTGGCTTTTTACTTCTCCATTTTTGTATAAAATAGTGGAAATCTTTCAGTGGAAGGAAGAAAGCAATCAATTTTAAAAAAATTAACTCTATATGAAGACCTGTGGATCATGCAAAGGAGTAACTTTCAGACACCAACTGAAAGAAAAGCCTCATCGAAATAGTTACAGCATTGAATTACATGAGAGAGAAACTTACTTTCGAAACAAATACTTTTCTTTATCAACACTGAATTATACAAACGAAAATTTCTCTATTCAGTTCGTATTCCAAATATTCGTCATGCGTCATGGAATTGAATCAGATATCATTCAGATGATTGCTACACAATATACTAATTGAGAGATGTGAAATTTTACTCTTATGGAACACTGTCATGCTCATTGGTTGACATCCGATGTTTCTGATGTCCAATAGTGAGCACCAAATCTGTTCGCCTCCTCAGCATCAAATCTGGATAACATATGAGACGAAGCACCCAATTCATTCATAAAATTATGAATTTATGTCACGAATGATTTAATCTATTCATGTCATCGATGACACTAAGTAATGATATTCATTTGCTCATTTGATTGAATTTTTGGGAATGGAAGGTTTTGGCTTTTCACTCCTCCATCAACATAAATACTGATAGACATGAACAAAACCAAAACATAAAGAAATTTGAATATAATTACAAAAAAACTGAATTTTATAGACTTTGTGAAATGATGAGAGATAGCGACTGGTTCAATGTGACAGCAGAAAAAAATGTTAATGTGGCAGCTGAAAATTTTTATGGTAAATGGAATAAAATAATTAATGAATGTGTACCAAAGTACAATATGTATAAAAACTCTGAGAAATATAAAATTTGCTTTACAAAAGAAATTGAAGAGTTGCTGAAGGAGAAAGAGAGGTTTAGGAAATTAAGATTTGTATCTGATTATTATGCAGTACAGTTCAACAGTTTTCATAGTGAGACAAACATCACATTTTTCCAATAAAGAAGCTATAAAGATTATGTACGACACATTAGTCAGATCGAAACTTGAATTCGGATCAGAAATTTGGTTAGAAGAATATCAAACTACACTTTTCGGAGTAGAAAAAATTCAAAACATTTTTTTGAGATTTTTGTACTACAAAATATATCGTATCTATCCTGACTACAGAATAGTTAGAACAACACAATTGAGAAATGAATTCAGAATATTGTCTCTGGACAATAGAAGAAACCAAAATATATTGATATTTCTATTCAAAATACTGCATCATAGAGTCAACTCTCCTGAACTCCTTACACGGATAAGATTCAGTGTGTCTGCAAGAAGAATGAGAAATTCTGTCATGTTCAATATACCCCTAGTTTGTACTACTGTTAGGTCACCGCTCATAATCATGTTGCGATTAGCCAATACATTCAACTAACTGATGGATATAGATTGGACAGTTTCAATCAGCGCTTTCAAAAAACTCGTTACACAGTTGATAATAAATTTCAATTGAGCATATATTATGTACTAGAATGTAAGCCATATAAATGTATCTATTTAAATTTTTATTTAAATTTTTTTAAATTCATGTAATAAGATCTTGTAGGTATATAAATATAGAAAATGTGAAAATCTATTACAGATTTTTTGGTTTTTGGTAAACATATTTTAGTCGTACAAGATGCCACATCAAAGTGGATTGAATGTTTTGCAGTGAGTATTATTACGGCTGACACTACAATACAAATGTTTAGGGAACTGTTCGCAAGATTTGGTTTGCCCTTACAACTTTGTGAGGACAATGCTACAACATTTTTGTCTGAAAGTTTTAAAAATTTTCTCGAAACCAGTGGCGTTGAACATATTACTGGCGCTCCTTACCATCCTGCCACTAATGGACAAGCGGAGAGTGCTGTTAAAATAATGAAAAAAGCTATTTTGGAAGCGATACAGGACAGTAAAACTAATATTGATTTCAATCTGATAATAAATCGCTTCTTGTTTCATTACAGAAACACTCCGCAAACAACAGGGAAAACGCCTGCAAAATTGTTGCTAGGACGTAAATTGCTATGTAGATTCGATATATTGTTGCCATCAATTCTAAATACTATCCGCAGGAAACAAAACTTGAAAACAAGTAATTTTAAAGGAAAATAAATGGAAAGCTTCGAGGCAAACGATAGAATTTGAGCTCGCTATTTTAGACAGAACTGGGGTAAGCGGTGTCAAAGTATTATAATTGAAGTTCTTGGCTAACGAACTTTCGGAGTTGAAACATTTCAAAGAATGATATATGATAACGTTATTTAAATCAACTCAAACGAGATTATGTAGCTGAAAATATAATAGTAATGTCAAATGTCGATATTATTACTCGATCAATCCTAATTGTAAATACTGTAAATATTGATCGTAAGGATAGTATAAGTGAAAGTAGGGATAACGTTGATAACGGTGACAAAGACTTTGAGCATAACGATCGTATACTGAGAAGAAGAAGCCAACTCAAACCTTTAGAACGTTCAAGGTATTGATAATGCTTTTTTCATCACCTTTCATCTGTAATATAAGAGAGAAAGGTGTTATATATGTATCGAGAATCTATATACAACGGTCGGCTTGAAGACCACACAAGATGAGGAACTGCCAATGGCATTGCCACTTTCACCAGTCATAGCCAACATATATATGGAGTGGTTTGAAACTCTGGCCATTGAAGAAGCCCACAAGAAACATCGTGTCTGGAACCATGGAATCATAGGAATACTGAACTAGACGCCTTCCTAAAACACATCAACAGCATAAGACCTTCCATCACTTTCACAATGGAAAAGGAAGTCCATGACGAATTGCCATTCTTAGACGTATTGGTGAAGAGGAGCGACAGTAAGTGGGAAACATCTGTATACCGAAAACCCACTCACATGGTACAGTATCTGAACCACGAATCCAACCACCATCAATCAACTAAAAGAGGAATCATCAAGATTCTATAAGATCGGGCTTTCGGGCTCTGTAATACGAAGGAAGGTCTCGAGAAGGAACTAGACATCATCAGAAATTATTTTCAACGGAATTGCTACCCCAAAGCGATAGTAGAACAGACTTTGGCTAAAAGACAACAGGAGCCTCGCAAGGGAGAGAAGCCGTCACAACCAGTGCTTGCACTTTCCTACATCAGAGGACTATCAGAAAGGATAAGAAGAACTGATTTCAAGTACAACATCAGAACCTGCTTTGGATCCGGAAACACTATCCGTAGCAGCCTCACGAAAACCAGACCACCAAACGGGGAATGAGATTCCATGAATTGCATTTACCGGATACCCTGTGGGTGCGGAAAATCGTATATTGGTGAAACTAAGAGGCCATTGAATATTCGTATTGCTGAGCACAAGAAACACACACAGCGAGGGGAAACCAGCAAATCAGAAATAGCAGAGCATGTTTGGACCCATAAACATAACATCTAGTGGTCCCAAGCTGACATCATACACAGAGAGGAACATTGGTTTAGGAGGAAATTCAAAGAAGCCGCATACATGTTGTCCAACAACGTATTCAACCAAGCTAGCGTAGGGATACGCAACATATGGAAACCTATCATCAAGCAAAAAATGGCCAACTTCCGTCAAACGGTCATCTCCCAGTAAACCAGTGAAGCGGAAAAAGGAGAAAGTGAAAGTACCCGAATGACCCATAAATAGTCATCTCTCGTAGGAATCAGTCCAGTCATCACCCGAAGACGACTGTGGATATCAACAATCGAAACGTCGTGAAGTAACTTGGCTTGGAATCTCTTTACTTTTTATTTCTATTTTTGTTCAATTGTTCAATTTTTACTTGTATTCTGTTTCACTATCATTTCATTTCAGGTTTCTTGCCTAATATAAGTGTTATTTTCAGATATTCATTTTTAATTCTTCTCTTTTAGTTCTTTCAGGGATTTCAAATCATTTTATATAACATCAGACAATGGAAGTCCGAGCTAATGAAATTAAGACTATTCATGTTCAAGATTATCAATAAATTACACTCAAATTAGTGCAGTTTATTATTTATATTCTATGCGAATATTCAGATTAATATCCATATAGAACAGAAAGAATGCAATCAGTTTCAAACAATTATCCCATTAAAAAGTAGCCACCCAGTATATCGTTTTCGTCAAACTGAATCGCTCTCAAACACTCACGATCAAACGTGATCAAATTCAGAATATCGTTTCCAAAATCCACATCTTTTGTCATAAATCGTTCCACAACGTCTTATCATAGTCTAGGATAGTCTCTGACCACACATCACTTCAATATCGCAGTCTCACACGAGCTGCCCATACTGTCGCTATTCATGAGATCGAACGTCTGTGTGGTCTTATCTAACTTTCATAAATCCGGAACGGCCGTGTCCAACACTCTCATTTCCTGCAATCCGTTGCAGGAATCCATTCTGGGATGTGAGTACGCTCTTTGCAGGGCGTGCAACGAGGTCGACGATAGGGTCCGCTCGAGAATTTCCCCCCAATATTTTTCCGAGAGGCCTTCGAAATCGCAACCGGGTGAGTGGTTGAAGACGGCGCTGACGTTGGTGTTGCTGCAGCAGTGCGGTTGGTGCTGAAAATTCTGGAAGTGTTGCTGTTTCTGATGGTGGGACTTTCTGCATCGAAACTGGAAAACAAGGAAATCAGAAATGAAATATTATCTGCAAACCAAGATGAACAATAAATTTCTCACATTTTGCGGTGAAAAAATATCGTTTGGACCAATCGATTTTTATTTTGGGGTGAAAATTGTTTAAGCATATTATTAGCTTTGTCACTTCCAATTCATCAATGGGCTGCAATTCCACCATGAAAAGTGGAAATGCTCAAAGATCTAAGTGTGTTATTTTCACTTTTGGTTTTACTGGACTTCATTTTTTTCAAATTGTATATTTCAAACATGAGAAATAAATATCATTATTGTTATAATCTACTATTCCAGCAGTGGACGATTTTGAAAACTGCGTTCATTATTTAATTACAAGCAGTAAATTCTAAATTGTATACGAACAAGTAGATTGATTCCTGATAAACACGTGCTAACTATACAGTGCTTTTCTTTAATGTCCGCCCCTTTTATTTTTTGAACGGGTCAACTTGAAAAATTGAAATTCGGGATAATGAACTTGATGCATGAATACTTTATTTTGAAGTGAAATTGACAGATGAAACTTTCGAAATGGCGACTGGGCGCCATCTGGGAAAAAAATTAAAAGTAAAGGAGGGTTTTGTAACATCTTCTTGAAGCTCTTGACAAATGCTTCATAATCCTAAAATATCATATCAATATATTTATCCACTACAAAATGGCGGAACTTTTGATAATTGTCTGAATACATTGACATTGACCTACATAATATGAGGTAATAAGACTGAGATCAGTTCAGAAGATGCTCGAAATGGTTGCATTGAACTTCTTGACACATAACAGCCTATCCGATATTTCACGCCGAACATTTTCGAACATAGTAACGTCAATATCTCTACAAATATTTATTATTCTCCACCGTGTATCCAATATTGAAGCAGGTTTAGTTTCGTATACCTTTTGCTTGAAACAGCTTCTTAAAAAATTCCAAAGGTGTTAAATCTGACGAGCGGGCTGGCCATTCTGTAGGACCTCGACGGCCAATCCAACGACCAGGAAAAGTAGTATCCAAATAGTTTCTTACTTGTCTAGAGTAATGTGATTTTGCTCCATCTTGTTGGAATACAATATCCATATCAAATTCATTAGGATTCGCTTCGACGATTTTAGTGATGAGAGGGTCAACAGTAAATTCCAGCATATTCAAATACAGTTCCCCTGTTGAATTTTGATCAATAAATAGAGGTCCTATTATATGGTTTCCCAATATTCCTGCCCAAACGTTAATTTTTTCTGGATATTGGGTATGTGTTTCCAGGAAAACGTGAGGGTTGGTGTCACTCCAATAACAGCAATTTTGTCTGTGAACATTGTCGTTGAAAAAATGTACATTCGTCACTAAAACAAATATTGTGGAGACAGGTAGGATGCCTTGCAATGGTTTCCGTCATGATTTCGCAGAATTCTGTTCTTCGATCAGGGTCATCTTCAGTTAATTGGTGTACCATTTTAATTTTGTTATGTGAATTTGAATACAAGTTCCCTCAAATATTTTCTACAGATAGAACGATTCGGAAAACGTTCATTGAAAATTCTTTCGGTCTCGTGAAAGTTACGCGTCGCACCGTAAATAAAAATCGTTTAAATTTTGTCTTCTAATGGACGAGAATTGACCATTTTAGAGATTGTTGACGTGGTATCTTTCTACTAGTAAAATCAAAAACTAAATGAGAATATTCTAACTGAACAATGATGTTCAATGTCGTACTAACATTTTTGTCATTTTCATAAACAAAAAATAACTCAACAAAACTTATAGGGTTGTTAAAATTGCCATATGGCAGATAAAAAGAAATATTTCTAGGAATATCGATTTCAATGTGTTTGTCTTCAGGAAATTATTAAATGTTCCGCCATTTTGTAGGAAGTGAAGATATTGACTTCATATTCTAGGGTTGTGAAGTATTCGTCAGGACCATCAAAATGATGTGTCACAGGGCATCCCTCTCCATTCAATTTTTTTCACCAGTCGTCATCTTGAAATTTTCATATTTCAATTTCACTCCAAAATAAAGTATCCATGCATTAATTTCATTGACCCAAATTTAAATTTTTTGAGTTGACCCGTTCAAAAAATAAAGGTGGGGGGGGGACATTAAAGAAATGCACTGTATGATGTATATTTATTTCTAAAGTCAAACAGCGTAAAATTCATTTCTTGAAGATGTACAGAGCATTGGAAAGGCAAATCGATCTTCTTTCAAACGGAATATTGCTTGACACCTAAGTAGATGAACAAGGCCGATACGAGCACAAAATCCCATGTATTTTCTCATGGAACTGAACTTTTTGCAATTTTTTGTTCAAACAGGAGTGGGGGAAACGTGTGACGTCATCGACGAAGGATGGAATGAGTATCGAAGCGATTCAAGCGTACATATTTGCCCCTCGGCCCCCTTAGTACTCCGCCCATCGACCCCCCTGAGACTCACCTCCTCAGGCCTCCTTGTCACGTTATCTCAGTAAAGTATAAAACTAACCCGCTAAGGAGGTGGATGAGACAATATCGAAAATAAAACTGAATGGTTTCACTGTGAAAAACAATAGATATTGAGTAATCGGTAATGAGTAATCGGTATGGGCTTGTGATCAAGTACCTATAGGATAAATTTTCAAGTATTGGAGAGCTCAGTTAAACATAAAAACATTGCTCTGTTGATAATTATAAAGAAATATGCGAAATTTGTAAGGAATTTTAGACATTGCAGATTTTGATGATTTTGTATTTTTATTACTGGAAATTAGAAATCTTCTGAAACCGAAACATAATAATCAATTAACTAGTTCAGTGATCCCATAATTTTTCTGAAGAAAGGTAGGTTGGGTACCAGGATCAATTTTTTTTTTTTTAAAACAAGTGTTTTCTTGCCGACGTTTTGAATTTATTTGAATTCTTCTTCAGGGCTCTCTAACAATGAATTTTCATAAACACAAAACTCATACGATTATTACCTATTGTTTCAATTTCACATGAAATAATGAGTTCTGAATTGAATTACTCACCAAAAATTAGTTTTTTCGGGTTGATAATATTACTATTTCAGAAACCGTCAGACATATTAGATATACAGGGTGTAACTGAATAAGTATAAAACATTTGCGGAGGTGATTCCTGATCGAAAAAAAGATAGGATCTTTCATATAAAGAAACTTCATTGGAGCATCCCTTGTTATGATACAGCCCCTTAAATGGGGTACATAAAATTTGTATAACAATTTTTTTCACAAGCACTGAAAAAGTTACAATATTGAAATTAACCTGACGTTTTGTACTACCAAAAAGACACTTAGCCAGTAATCTATTTAGTTTACTCCATGGTTGTAAGGGGTGGAAAAAGCAACCCCTAAAATTTATTTCCAATCTAACTTTTTGTCTTATTATTTGTTTAACATTTAAAAATCTATTTCCGATAGCCTGTTTCATTCTAAACAAAAAATGTCTCTTGGATATTTTCCCAAAATTAGCCAGTTCGCAGCAAAAAATTATTTTACGAACAACTACAGAGATACATCGTCATAAAAAAGGCGAACTGGATTTATTGTTATTTTGTAGTTAGTACCTACATTAAACGATTGAAGGGTAATAAACAAAACTATTTTATTAATAACAAAACAAACACCATGTAGAAATCATAGTAAATGTTCAATATGTCTACCTTCAGACACTACGCATGCGTCTAGACGTCGGCGTATTGAGCCACATATTTGCTCAAATATTCCTGGAGTCTCTCTGATTACCCTGCATGCATCGATGATGCGGTTTCTTAAGTCCTCTGCATCGCGAACAGGCGTACGATAAACCAAATGCTGTAAATAGCCCCAAATAGAGAAATCGAGAGGATTGAGATCCGGGGATCGAGCGGGCCAGTTCTGTGGTCCCCCTCGATCTATCCACTGATTTGCATATGTTTCAGTTAAATGCTGACGTTCTACTTGACTAAAATTGGCGGAAGCCCCATCATGCATAAAAAACATATCCCTTCTGACGCCTAAAGGAACTTCCTCCAGCAGTACTGGATGCACCTCTCTTAAAAATTGAACGTATGCCTCATCATTTAATCGAGGAGGTAGAAAATGAGGCCCAATTAAATCATTCCCAATAACTCCAAGCCACACGTTAAGAGAAAACTGTTCTTGATGGTTAGTTTAGACAATAGCGTGAAGGTTACCCATATGTGGTAATTATGAAAATCAATAATCTTGTTCCAAAAAAACTACATTCGTCTGTGAATTCTATTGCCTTCAGAAAGTCACAATTTCCTCTAATCATTTTCAGCATCCAATTGCAAAATTCAAGACGGTTAGGAAAGTCTCTCGGTAATAGTGTCTGTACTCATTGCAGATGGTAAGGGTATAAGAGTTGTTCCTTTAAAATTCGAAATACCGTCATATGATCAACATTTAGCTGGAAAGCAATCTTTCTACTACTGTTAGTAGGTTGTTCTTCAATCAAATTAGGTACTGCTTCCTCAAGCTGTGGTGTTCGTACTTCTCGATGGCGACCACAATCCTGCGTTCTTTTGTCGAATGAACCATATTCTCGTAATTGTTGATGAAGTCGAGAAAATATTCTATGTGAAGGATGCTGCCGTTGAGGATATCAGCCATTTCCTCATTTGTGTATGCCATTTCAATAACAAGTAAATTATTGAAGTAAGTTAGTAACAAATTAAGAACAGAACAACAGCACACATACCAATTTAATTGTCACTATCGCTAATAGCGACCTACTAGATAGATTAGTTTCGTATTTTCGCATTTATGACGATGTATCTCTGTAGTTGTTCGTAAAATAATTTTTTGCTGCGAACAGGTTTATTTCGGGCAAAAAACCCAAAAGACATTTTTTGTTTAGAATGAAAGAGGCCATCGGAAATGAATTTTTAAATGGTAAACAAATGATAAGACAAAAAGTTACATTGGAAGTAAATTTTAGGGGTTGCGTTTTCGACCCCTTACAACCATGGGGTAAACCAAATACATTTCTGGCTAAGTGTTTTTATGGTAGTAGAAAACGTCAGGTTAATTTCAATATTGTAACTTTTTAGTGCTTGTGAAAAAAATTGTTATACAAATTTGATGTACCCCTTTTAAGGGGCTATATCTTAACAAAGGATGCTCCAATGAAATTTATTTACATGAAAGATCCTATCTTTTTTTCGATGAGGAATCACCTCTTTAAATGGTTTACACTTATTTAGTTACACTCTGTATATTGAAAAGAAATAAAAAACATTGCAACAGACAAACCTTCGAGACAACACCAACAAAAAACGACATGAAACAAACGAATGGCTTTTCCGCGATTCTGATAAGGTGGTGTCTGTTTTTTAATCAATGACAGAAAAAAAAATGAAAAAAGGATAAGTTATTCAGGTATTATACGTATCAAATTGAAATATGCAGCATTAAGGCCATCGACATCTCTTCCAGTGTTAACACTATCGCATTCCAGGATATGCATCATTTCGCTTGAAAGTTTTTTGGATAAATATGGTTGAACATCTAGAATAGTCGAATGATCAAAATTAAAAATGTGTCCATATTTTTTTCCATGTTCAACGAGGGCTGTGGGGTTTTATATATTTCATGAGTTTCAGAACACATGGAGTCTCTCATGTGTTCTGAAACTCATGTTTTAAGATACCGTCCGGTTTGACCAAGCTGTCACAAATGATATGTTGGTTAAACCGAGAGGTATCTTGAAACATGAGTTTCGGAATGCATGAGAGACTAGAAGAAACTAAATAGAATTAAACCTACAGCTCTTGTTGAACATGAAAAAAAATATGGACACATTTTTGATCTTTTTTAGAATGATTGAGTACAAATTCTGTACAGATTTCACTAACAAAAATACAAATTGTTATACAGCAGTGAATACTTTTTGATGAATAAAAAGTACGTAATACGATTCCAAAAATATATTGGATCATATATGGAATTTCTCATTGAAGAATAATTTTTGGCATACTGTAGTTCAAATAAGATGTACCCTCCACCTCACTGGAATGTTTTCCTTGGGTCATCCAACACTCGCAGACTCTCTAACTTATTCGTTGACACTTTTCCATTGAAACTCCATTTTCATAATGCTTACTAGAAAAATATTGTGAATTTCAGCGGGGATGGAATGAAAAAAGATACGCATCTTTGTGAAAAAGAATGAGGAATTACGACTTCCGAAAAGTCTACAAAGTTGCCCGAATCGTAATATCTTTATATCAAATAACACAAAAAAATAAATAAAAACTTTCAACATAAGTAGGGCTCTCGATTTCCACGATTGGTTTTCGTGTATTATCATCCGAGTTGAACCGGAGATTTATTATCACGATTTCTTTCGAATAATTCTCTTATAACCCCAGACAAACGGAGCAGAAGGAGAAAAAGGAAAGATATAATTTATCATCATTCGATCTCAATAAAACAGCCAATAAATATACGCATGGAGACGTTTCGCAAAAATATAAGGGCTAACTACTAATCGTGTTGAGGGGATGATTTAAAATAAGGCATACGTGGTGTTAACAAAATGGGCTTGTTTCATGCTATAGAAAATGATACTGGTTTGCTTATAGACTGATCCAGTTAGGGGTATATTAATTATACTTATCAAGCCTGATCGGTCCCAAGATCTCTTAATATTTGCAGAAAAAAGAATAATTCGAAAAGCAAGATTTTAAATTGGCCGCGTGTCTGTTGACCAATAAAATTTATCGTGTTTAGAGCGGAGTTGCTAAGTGTATTGGTTTTCAATGTCTGTTTGAAATCTGTTTTTCCGTTAATAAGCTGTCGCCGCCATACGAACGAGCTAAGGACTAACGAGGTCTTACCGTTTAACGTATGATTCCTAACACACGTTAGGAATCACACGTTCCTTTATTTTATGAAAGGAGCCTTAAAATATCTTGTGAGCACTCCTAAAAGAGAATCGATTCACAAATATGATTCAAGAAGCTTGGTATTCGTTCAAAAACAAAACCAATATTTCTAAATAGAAATCAGCCTACGTATAATGTCTATGGCCCAAACTAAAACACCTAACTACAACACACAAGAAAATAAGGAAATAGTATACCATATGATCGTATTATCATGAGGCATTTCAAAAAAATAAGAAGTGTACTAGGTGTACTAAATAATGATAACCTGAACATCGACATAATCATTATCAAGAGGCAGTCCAAATCTGAGAAAAGTTTATTTTTGATTTCGAACGGATTAACATATAGAACATGTTTAGTATATTCATGACTCAAGTCTATCAAAAAAGTATTCAATGAACATTTTTATATTGTATTGAAATTCTAACAGATACTCGTCAGAAAATGAATTGAATATTTTTTTGGATTGGAAGTTGGTAATTTCATTATTATAAAAATCACGATAAAGACTGGTCCTTATTTGTGACTCAGATATTTCGATTGTGTCGATATAGATTCACTATCAATTGAGTTAGTCATCGATTCATTGAATTTTCCTACAGTGTCATGACTTTGCAGTTCATGCGAAATAATTCAACAAAGGTTGATAATTTATTTGAAACTGTGCCAGTTTTTCATCATTATGAGCGGGAATACTTGATATGTACTTCTTTTTTGTACTTCATTGTATCCGTTTTTTCCATCAGGATTCATTGAGAATGCTCGTTACAATCGGAAACCTTCCTAGTCCAACATTCCAGCAATAATAAAAGGTGGAACTGAAACCTCTGGCGTAGAATAAATCCAAAAACAAACATTTTTCTCAATCAGCAAAACTTCAGTACTCATCTCCACGCTTGTCTCACTAACCAATCCACTACCAATCCATCTGGATTGGTATCGTCCCAAATTAGACAATTTCGTTTGTTCACCTACCCATTCATCCAGTAATGGGCCTCATCGCTGAAGATGATATTTCGATGGAAATTAGGATCAGTTGCCAACTGATCCAAAGCCCATTTAGCGAACACACGTCGTTGTCTATGGTCATTTACCTTCAGTTCCTGGGTCAGTTGAATTTTTTATGGGTGCAGGCCAAAGTCACGACCCAAAATTCGCCAAGTTGTGGTCTGCGAAAAGCCGAGCTTTTGTAACCGACACTAAATTGACTGCCTTGGATTCTTCAGCACACTCTCACAGACAGCGGCAGATCTTGCATTTCGTCGACGTACAGTTGATCGAGCATTTACTAAACCACCACATTGCGAATAGTCCTCTCACTAGGACGACTATGGCGACCGTAAAATGGGCGAAGCGCGCGTTACGTTGCCCGAACAGAACACCCATTTTGATAAAACAATTTCATTATTTGCACGTGTTGTTGAATGATATATCTGTCCATGGTGATTCGTCGAAACATACTTAATAAACTACAACTAATTTAACAGAAGTAGTGTCAATAAGATGGCCGTTATCAATTGTCAAAGTTTGGAAGTCCCTGTTGGACACATCAATAAATCATTTCTCACTGGGTTCTACTCATAAAAATTGTGCTCATTGTACCTTTGGGTCCAAAGGTACAATGAGCACAAAAAGGCATACATAAATCCAACAGTATATACATCAAACCTTGCAACACACGCCATACAAAACAAACATAATTTCCCCCCACCAGAGAACATAAAACTAATGAAACAAATCAACAAGGGAAACCGCATGGACATTTGGGAAAACTTGAACATCCATAAATTCAACAGTCATAAATCACTTATCGAGGAACAAGTACAAATCAAAACGCAACAAGATCTCACATTCAATATATTAAACAAAACCATACACATTCCTAGAGAAGATCTAACACGAAGAAGAGTACCTGATGCAGAACAACTACAGGCAAATTTACCTAAAGTACCTGAAATACCTGAGTTAAGACGCTCTGACCGTATAAAGAGACAGACAACAGGATGACCAGTTCAGTTTGAGGAGTGCCAGATGATGACAGTACTACCAACTGTCGAAAGCGCTCGCAGATAATTAATAGAAGATATAAAGCTTCTGCTTCTCATGGAAACCGTAACGTTTTGTTTTTACTCAGATACAAATAACATGTAAAATAATGCAGTTTTTGATGTTTTCTATTGATAATCAATATCTCAGTTCAGTGCGATATCCTCCAATCACAGAAATACCACACCGGTATTTCTGTGATGGGAGAAAGCATGTGGTGCCCAAAAAATCATCTGTTGAAGCGATTTATTTGATTTTTTGACAATAATACTTGTTTGATATCCACTAATGTATTGGGCACTGAAAGGGGGGTTGTAAGTGGGTAGAAAAGAGTAACACAATTTCATTATATTTGGTTTTGTTTCGTCTGACCTTGTATCGATGGTATTCCATGAAAGTATTTCAGTTCAGCATTAAAAAGGATTTGTTCATATTGTTTGAGTTCAATAATGCTGGGTAATAAATTTCAGATTGAGAAAAGTATAAAATTCAATCTCACCCTGCTGAATAACAGCTCTCTGCTGATTCTCCTGAAATGATTGTTCAGAAGCCAGTAGAGAAACGGATTCCAAAAGCTGTTGCTTAGAGCTAGCCAGGTCGCCAAAAAATCCAGAGAAGCTGGAGCGCGGGACCCTGTGCAAGCTGCCACCACTTCTTGAATAGTCCAGGGTGTTACAAGAACGATAAATCCCAAAGACATTGCTGCCATCGTTCTTGAAGCTGTTGTACTGAGTCTCCGTTCTTGAGTTACTAGCTAAAATCAATAAATAACTTCAACATCTATTACAGGACTTGTGATAGCATATTATTCAACGAGAAATAAATGTGGTCATTGCTAGCGGAAATGATGAAGGACAGGAAAATCGAGCAAGAAATTGCCCTTTCTCGCGAAAATAATGCTATATTTTTTGTACGACCCATATCAGGAATATTCTGGAGAAATATACATTTGTGAAGAATACTTCGAATGGAACAGGATCAGAATCAATTTTTTTTTCGATATTTTATGTGAAATAGATCTGTACTAAGTCATATACATCACAAATAAAAAATAAACAATAAAATATGAGGAAACATAATCAAGTGCGAACTTGCGCCCAGCATGTTTCATTATTAACTAAAATGGTAATTATGAGCCAAGTTCAGTTATTCGTCCACAAAGTAGAAGCTATAATTTGGGAGAATCTTCACTAAAGGTTTTTGAAGTCAAGCGTATTACACTTTTCAGAATGCTAGGGTAGCATGTTGAATAACTGAGTATTAAAAGAATTTTGTTGTGATTTAACTAGTTTAAATTTTTAAATTCTCACGAAATTGTTGTGTTGTTCAGAAAGTTGAAGTGCTTTCCTATAAATATCGATAAGAGTTGTCTACTCCAATAATGAGGCCAATGTCACAATTTTCAATTTGCTAAATGAATCTCCACAAGAAATTCACCAGCCAGAATTTGTATAGGTTTTTCATTTATGAAATATGGAATGACCATCGGATGGTAGGTATTGAACATTTTATATCCTTCTAGATTGAACCTTTTTCATCAGATTTTCGTATATGATTTTTGATTTCCGCATCGTATCTTTTGAGAATTATGTGTTTACCTTATTGTCAACTCACTCAATTCGACCTATTTTATTTTAATTTTAATATGTAATTTCTATTCGATTTACTTCAAACAAGAATAATTCATGCTAAACGGTCCTGCCTTCTTTTTAAACCTCTCTCTTGAAACTATTCCTATTTCATCGCTCATTCGGATGGCAGTCGAGTCGAAGGGAAAACTCAATAATCTTCCAGATACCGCTCCACCGGAAGCAACAGCTTCGTCGTGACGCATCTCCAGGGAACGCTTCCTGTGAAAATCTCGGAAAATACGAATTAGAAGCGTTCCCATCAAACTCGATGGTAATTAAAGGACTCATTAAAGAAAACTGAAATCGTTTTAGTAACCACGATGTATCGGAAATTGGAGGAGGTTTGGCAAGAGACGGTTTGCAGAAATTGTAGGAATTTTGTAAAAGCTTGATATTGAAAAATTGATTTTCAGATATGTCTCTCATCACCATTCTATCGTTTGGAGAATAATCAGTGACAGACGGTAGCAGGTATCTCGTTTTATAAATTACAACTAGTAGTGAAGAACTTCACTCAATGGTGTGAGAGAAATCACCTCATTAATAATATGGAAAAAATGGTTCTCATCCAATTCAGTAGTCCTCAAAATCACTTCAACAACATGAAGTTCAACTTAGGTCACACTGATATCTTAGCACGAGAAAGCACGAAATTACTTGGCATGTAGCTGGATTAAAAATTAACCTTCAACAACAAAATTGATAACATATGTGAAAAACTGAATATATTGTATTATGCTTTTACTAGTCTCAAATCGAACTTTCACGGAAACCACTTGATTAACATGTATTGCGCTCTTGTCTACACGGCAATCAGCTGTAATATCATTACATGGGGTAGAACAACTGAAGTATCATGATTGTTCATTTTACAAAAACTATTTATAAGACTCATTTTCGGCATGGATCATAACGAATTTTGTAGAAATACTTTCAAACAGAAAAATATGCTAATGTTTCCGTGTGTTCACCTACATAAGTTATTAATTTATACATTTGAAAATGAAGATAAATTAACAAAAAATAGCGATCTTCACGGGCACGATACTAGATATAAAAATAACATACACCTAAATCAATTCAACAAAACACGGTACACAAAATCTTCCCTGTATGCTGGAGGCGTCTTTTATAACCTGCTTCCTGAATGCTTAAAAGTAACAAAAAATTTGAAAATTGTCAAATTTGACCTAAAGAAATGTTTGATCCATCACTCCTTTTATTTACTTACTGAATACATTGCGTTGAATATTAGAACTACATCCAACGACCTATCGACAAATTTTGTACACTTTTAATATGTTTTATATGTACATTTCATTTTATATCTTTAACACGTTTTGTGAATAGTTGGCATCCAACTCTAAAGTTTTTATATTTGTATATTTTATGCTTCATCAATTACTTAATGTTGTTATGTGTAAATACCTGACTATTCAAACATTATATTTATCTTATCTTTATGACTACCACTGGAGTTATCTAATGTCGTGTAAATGATTCATGGAGATTAATAAAATTATATATCTATCTATCTATCTAAAAATATTTCAACACATGAGATCTCATCGATTCCAAACTTGCAGAAGTTCATATTTCCGAAGAATATCGTTTGTATTGAGCGACAACTGTTTATGGAAAAAAATCATTTCTTCCACAAAATTGGACCTGATATCAAAAAAATTCATACGCAGAACAAAATACTGGTCCATTTCCAAACATGATCCTAGTCCAATTTGACCTTTTCAGTTTTAGAGTCAAAAATTATCAAAACATAATGCCAATTGAAAAATGACATTCATGTGAAGGTATGACATTTGTCAAACCAAAAAAATTCCATACATGTTTAACTTTCTTTCGTCAATGTATATGTTGAATTCATTGTTTTTCACTCATTTTTACTGTAAGTATGATTTGTAATGTTATTCAACGGCAAAAAAATCCACAACTCAATAAATTATAGGCCCTGAAGAAGCTTCCCATTAGAAGCGAAAGCTTGGCAAAGTATAGCAGAGTTTTAATTTTTCATTTTTTAACTGAGTCAAGAAATACATCTAGTGGAGTTTTATTTTTTTAATATTTTTTTTAATGGGGACTACGAAACAAGAAAATTTGCCGAAACAACTAGTCATTATTCTGTATATGACGGTTTATTTTTAAAAGACTGGAATATTACAAATTACACAACTATGTTGTTAACCATGGTCAATTTTTTTGAAGAGTAAAATAATTTTCAACGTTTTTGGTGCGAAGTTATTTTAATTTTTTGTTAACACGGAAAATTACTCGAAATTGTACAATATCGTAGCAAGAACTTGATATTCAATAATATTAAATCACAAAACATCAAAATGAAATAGGTATTTTGGAACAAACTCATTGATTTTCTGGAGATTATTTTGGAGAATTATTTTGGACAAGAAACTCTCCAGAAAATCAATGAGTTTGTTCTGAAATACCCGTTATATTTTGATGTTTTGTGATTTGATATTATTGTATATTGAGTTTTTGTTTCGATACTGTATAATTTTGAGAAATTCTCGGTGTTAACAAAAAATAAAAATAACTTTGCACCAAAAACTTGAAAATTATTTTACTTTTCAAAAAAATTGATCGTGGTTAACACCATAGTTGTGTAATTCGTAATATTACAGGCTTTTGAAATAAACCATCGTATACAGGATGCCATTTATCGTTTTAGTTTTTTTTTACGTAGTCCACATTTAAAAAAAATAGAACTCCATTTAGATGGCCATGACTTCAAATCTAGATGTATTTTTCAATACTGAATAACTTTTTGAAATAACGTTTTCCAAGATTTCTCAAAATAAGAGTACTTTACTCTTGTCTCAAAATCAAATATTTGAAGGCTCCTCGTATATTATGTGTGTTTTACTGTGTTTTGTTAGTGCATGTTTAGTTTTATGGGATGCACAAACTTTTATCAGGAATAACATTTTGTCGAAAAACCCCTAATAAATACATTTTCCATATGGTGCATACTTTGGGGCGTACTGCATTTAAATCAATTACTATCAACGAAGTGAATAAATAAATATACAAAATGTATTCATGAAAAGTCTCATTCATAACAAGTATAATAACAAATTAACTTCAGCAAATGTGAAAATATATCGAGTAGTAACCGAGACATTTTTCAACAAATAAGTATTAAGTTGAAGGGGGTTGAAAAAACATTGTTTCTGTAAGGCGGTATAAATAGATATTCCTTTGAAATATACCCTCAACAGATACCCTGCACCCAGCAATAGGGCCGACTTGGATTTTTCCATAGGAAGAAAATATTACTTTATTTTCTGTTGGGAGTTCAAAGGCCATGGTAGAGAGGTTCGTCTTAGTCTTAGTGACCAAGTTTATGTATGACCGATGTCAATAGAACGACAATTTTCAGAATTCCTAAGAAACCTAAGGAAAACAACAGCTTTTTGGAGCGGAAAGTATCTACTGGCAGAAAGTGTTTGGTTACCGACGAAGAAGTTAAGAATCCTTTTAGGAGAACAGTACACTCCTTTCACATCAAAAACGAAATTCCTACATTGAATAAAGTTTTGTCAGTTATTCGTGAAGACTGATATAAGAAGAACTAGAACATGGAAGATATTACAAGAGTTGAACTTCACTTTTGGAAAACAATATAGAAAGAGGGTGTTAATAGGAAAATCATAGATTGTAGAATGTAGAAAAAACTATTCAAGATAGTTTTACTTGGATGGACCATGGATCAATGAGGGTCATACCGCGTTGAAGCTTTGGCAAGACCAGAACACCAAAACTCTAAAGTATGTCTCTCAGTACAGCCATATCGCTTTACTTATTGAAAATGGCTTCAAAGTAGAAACCGAAACGTCGAACAATGCAAAACTTTGAGCGCGGTTCAACCCGAAAGTCAGATGTTCAAATTTATAACCGCGGAAACCTATTCTATTTGTATACTTATCTGGTGACGTTTTTAGGACTTTATCCATCTCCATTATGAAACCTTGGTTCGATTTGATATTATTAGGGTCAATACTAATAATATCAAATTGATTTACATTACAAGATGAATCACAACTGTAAATTATAATGTTTTGATTTAAATAGGTTGGATAAATAAAATCTATAGTCTTGAAAACGTCACCAGATGATACATATTGATTTTAATATGAAAAATTTTATGAACTGATAAATTAGATATTTTATTCAAAAAGCTAATCCATCAAATGCAGTGATTTTTTGCTCTTTCCACATTT